CTGTTCTGAACCTTACTATTGTATGATTTCCAGAAAATAGATGTACCAATTACATTTTGAAAAGATATATATAATTTTTTTTTTTTACAGGACTTTGCCCACCCAGGTCTATCCTTCTCATCGTCATTTTTAAAAAATTTTTTTTTTTATACGAACTTACCTGCTCGTATTGCGCTATACTTGACAGAGTTCATTGCTGCAGCAAAACTATTGCGCCTATTGTCCATGTTGCAAAAATGCCCTTAGCACGAATCATTGGAGTGACTATTCACATTAATTTGGTTATTTTGGACTCTCAAACACTCCCCATCATTCAACAATGCAAATAGAATGCTTCCAGTTGTCCCATAAAATACATTATTTTAACAGCCTCATTACATTTTCACTGCCCACTTTCATTGCCCTTCTGATTTATGCCGCCGCCGTTTTAGCGCCTGGTCCCGTTTTTCCAAATATCAAGGGTCAACCTCGGGTGCGAGACTTTCCACCTTTAACCAGTGCCGTAAAATATAATCAAGGTGAGCAAAAGAGTCCCCCCCCCCGCTTCCTCCCTCGTTAATTTAGCCCAGCGAAAGCCAGGTTGCTGACCCGTAAAATCAGCAAAGATAATACTGACCTTAACATGGTCTTCTGCACACGGAGGTAATTGCTAAGGCTCCAGGATCAATCAATATTGACTTGCTTTTTTTTTCTTTTTTTTTTTTTCGGGTTGTTGTTTAAACAGCACTCTCTCACACACACACGCACAAACACAAACACACACTTGAGCTGAATCTGTAAAATTGGCGTCAGATGGATGGAGAACATATCCCTAATAGTTTAACCTTTATCCGTCAACATGTTCACTTATCTGTACGTTTATAGATTTTGGGCCAGTCCGCTCCAATACTGTAACAGAGACCAAGTCAGGAATGTGCCATTCCGCCATTGCTGTAGGTGTGCTTTTGTATTGGTCAACGAAGAATCATTTGTAACACGAGTTTACCGATGATTTTGGTAATGTTTCAAAACCAAGCAGAGAGCGATCCGAGCTCTTATTTCACGTCGTCACGACGCCGCGCGGTCCAAACGGACACCATCCCACCTTTAATTTTTCAACACCGACTCGGCAGACATTTCCATCTCCACTTGATAAATCTCACCGTCTTCCTTCTCCTCCTTGCCACAGCGAAGTCATTTATTTTCTATTTCTCCCAGCTATATTTCCCAGTTCATATTTCATTTTTTTCCCCCCTCATAGCACCTGACAAAGAGATGCCATGAGGGATGATAAGAAACCTGAAACCTTTGCACTGTGAAACAGGATTTACCTTTTTCTTATTTCTAAAATAGGCGCTTGTCACCATCGCAACGACGGTATGTTAATGACGATAAAACATTATGTCTGATGCCAACTCTTGCCACAAAAATGTGCCCCCCCCATCCCCCGAGAAAGATCACAATGATCGCCTCACTGACATTCCTATTTATAGCTTTTTTGAAAACAACAAAATCCTGATTGTGTCACTCAGACTTACTTTTGTAGCCGGCGGCGTAGCATTTATCATTTATGTGCTTCCAAAGGCAAGATTGCGATGATCCTTTTTTTTTTTTTTTTTTAAAGATCACGGCGATTTGCAAAGCTTTAAATTAGGTGCGGAGTTGAGTGATGGGTAGCACCATCCTTCTGGCTATTCAGCAAGAGCCTTAATTTGAATTTTAGGAGATTTCTTTGGGAGACATTGTTCAGCTCATGCAAATGGGGCGGGCGGACGAGAGCTTACTGTTGATGAGGTGTTAATATCTAATATCAAAAGCAGATAAAAGCCTTATTAGCCCCCGTGGTCTGGCTGGAGTAGGAACTCATTACACCGAGGAGATGGAACGCAGATGGAGGAATACGACGACTGAAGGGCTTTGTCACGCGACTCGCACGTCCTTAAGCTTTCTGACAGGGTCAACTTCATTTTGGGACTAAAATGCTGGGGGTTTAACCAGTGTAGACAAGCAGACATTGTTTGAGGGATCTAATTCGGACTTCCATAGACGCCAACATCAGGGGGATTACACTGTCTCAAGCCAGAGGCGCTTTGATAATCACTTGTCATTTTCGGAGTTTGTGTCGCCCGTCGCGGCTTGGGCGGTTTTCTAAAGGTCTTTGCTTCAATCCAACGTTGGCCAGATTAGTCCGCCGCGCTCCTTTTTCCCGCGACTGTTTCCGTGCCGACCGTGCGTGAATGTTGTCCTTTAGACTCTTGCGGTAAAGAGTCAGAAAATAAGCGGGGGGGGTTTTCAAGGGCGGCTGTTAAAATGCAGCAAGATCTGCACGACTGTATTGCAGTGGTAGCTCGTAACTGGGGGAAGAGCGTCTCTCGAATGAGAAACCGCTTTCAGCGCGATCATAAAATGTCCGGCGTTCAGACAGAACGCCGTATTCCAGGCAGCTGCGTTAGCATTTAGCTTTGACGCGACCTGTCTTGGCTTCCTGTAGCTTAACGGCTTCTGGCAAACGCCGGCCGTATAACAAAAGCGAGGCTGGGCGCGAAAGCACGAAGTAAGCATGCCATTTGCCGATCAATGCGTCGGGTCGAAAAAAAGACTGATCTGCGGGCTCGCCCATTGAGCGACAGCATCAATAGCAAAAGTGCTCGCTTTAAACAAGTGGCCAAACACCATCGGGATCCGGCCATGCATCCCATTGATTTCAATTCAAGCCGACGCCGGTCCCCGCAGCGTTTAGACATTTAATTCCCTTTACGGCGCAGTCATTACACGCGTGTGATTAAGCTATGCTGGCGCTGACGGACTCAGTGTTTAAATACTGGCCGAGATGGCCTCTCTTTGACCTTTAGCTTTGTGAAAAACACACACCCAAGCACACTAAAAGCACCACCTCTTTTTACGGGGGGGGGGGGCTTTTCCCAACTGCAGTTTATTATGGCTCGAAATTGACATTCATAAAGTGTGCAGACGCGACGGCCACTCTGACTTCATTGGCGAGAAGAAGGCATGCTGCACTTTGATGCGTCCCGATGATGACCAATTATTTGAATCATTAAGCCTCAGAGTCGATTGCATCGCCTGCACCGTCAGCGCTGCTTACCGAAATGAACAGTTATCTCGAATACAAGCAGGACAAACCGTCAAGTGCACTTTCCAATCATTTCTGAACCGATGCGAGGTTGTGCACAAATAGATTGCGGCATTCAAAACTCGCCTCGCCTTCAGTGGCGATGGGAAGAAAGTGAACAAAGGATCACAGAGTAACCCGAGCGTCAGAGCTTGACTTCCACTGCGACCCGTTTAGGCAGGCAAAAAAAAATAATCGACTCATTGGTTGCTTCGCTAAAAAAAAACATGAACTTTTGATGTCTTAGCGATCGGGACGCAAATCCCGCTGCTCCCCACCCTTGAACATAATCGCCAACTTTGATATTTGGAAAAACTTGTGCAGATGTTAATCAAAGTCAAGGCTTAATCCGGGGTGCTGATAAGACGCTCCCTCTTTTAACGGTCTCGTTTAAGCACGGGGTGAGTAAGGGGGTGGGGGGTGGTTGGAGTGGCTCGATCAGGTGAAATGAAGAGGAACTGATTGCTTCTGGTGATTATACTGATTACATTTTAAATTTAAAAACTTTGCCCCCCTCGCAGAACATAATCCTTTCTAGTTACGCAGACAATGACATCGCAATCTCGGTAAATGCCAAGGCCAAATGCAATCTCTTGGGGAAACACACTTTAGCCGGCGGATCTCAGAAAATGTAGAACCCCCCCCCCCTCGACCATTTTCTCCCAGGGTAGAGCGTTTTAAAAGTGCCGCATCAGCACGGATCCGTCAACGTTGAATAAAACAATCATGTCGTGTCGACGCGACCTTCTCTTCTTCGGACTGTGAGGGGAATAAAACATTACGGACGCTTGTTCTCGAGCCGGCACATAAATGACATTGGCAAATCGGCGGTGTTCGAAATTTGCATGAAGTGCAGTGCTTCATTTGCATATCTGGGTGTTTTGCATTGGGGCTGGGGGTTGACTTTAAAATGGACGCTTTACAATTGTGCCTTTTCCTTGACAAGGCAGATCATGACATGTCAGATATTGTGTTCAGGATTGACGGCACGAGCTAACAAGCAAAAAAATGAAAGGAAAAGAAAAAGTTAATAGTTATGCCACTGCAAGCCATCTATCCGCTACTTCCCAACTACTGCGCCATGAGAGATCATCAGTAGCACTTAAAATGATTTACTACAAATAGTGAATGATTTTCTATGCCACGTAGTCTGACAGGCAGAACAATTAAATGCTCTTCCACTAGATGGTGGAAGGCTCCCCCGAGCCTGATAAGGTCTTTATATATATAGTATACACACACGGACGCACGCACTCGCACACACACACACACCGGATGTTCTGCACTATAAGGCACTTCGGAGTATAAGGCGCACCTCCAATGACTGACCAATTTTAAAATGGTTTTCATATATACGGTTCACCGCTTAATGAGGGGCATAGAAAAGAAGCTACAATAATGGATGGAGTTGCATTATGCATCCACCAGATGGAGCTAGGCTAAAGTGAATGCAATACAATACAATACAACCTTATTTATATAGCGCTTTCACAACTGCTTTACAGGACATTTAAAATATTACATCCAAGAAATCTGAATATTGATCCATATATAAGGTGCATCGGATTATAAAGCACACTCATCTTTGAACAAAATTGAATGCTTTTTGGTGTGCCTTCTAATCCGAAAAATACAGTGTGTGTGTGTGTGTGTGTGTGTGTGTGTGTGTGTGTGTGTGTGTGTGT